TAGTCAGCCTATTCAATTCAATTGAATATATTATCTAGTTCTGTAGAACAAACATATTCAGAAGTAAAAATGTAAAAGTAAACAAACCAAAACAGAGAGGCCTGGAGTTCTAAAAAGATGAACGACCAAAGCATAAAATATAATTTTGTTTATTTATGAAATGCACTTCATTGTATTAGCGTGTGCGAGAGTTTGTGAATTAATCATATTTATTACTGCTGTCTAATGAATAATTCTGTATGTGTTGTGCCGTTTTACCAGGAAGGTCGCCGGTGAACAGGCCTTTGCAGTAAAACACCCTTCCGCTCCATAAAATCACGCCCTTTCGCTCGTATAGAGAGGCCATAAATCTTGGTGTTTATTCGCGGCAGTTTTTACGATAAGGATCAGAGGGCAGATGAGGACATCCCTGCGGACAAATTAGATAAAGGGCAGTGGTGCTTTTTTTTGTGAGGGGCCGTACGACTGTTTTATTTGACAGGTCCCCCATCGCGGCGAGGGCGAGGCCACTTAGCCGGCTAGATTAACGCCACCTCGATTATTCCCGGCTCGGGCCGTCCCAAAACATTTTGATTTAGGCCTATTTGTTTTTAAGGTGCAATAAACTATAAAGAATTGTTCGACTGTAAAAGTCAGAGCCGAGTTTTCCCGGGCCGCCCTCATGCAAACGAATAGCCTACTTACATTAGACAGACGAAAACATGACATGACAGGAGTTTCGGCAAAGATAAAAATCTCAAATTGCCGCGCCCAGGCAAATCTAAAAAAATATCGGTGAAATAAAAGGAATAAATTATACCTTGTATACAGAATACACAACAAGCCGATGAAACTCGCCTCGCCACTTGAAATTCACTACACTTCTCCTTTTATAACGGCTATATTACAGAAACGTGTTTTTTGTACCCGAGCTCAGTTTAAAATCTATAATGTCACATAGTTCACCTACAAACACCTGTTGATAACCGGATTGAATATATTTTATCCAGAAATATAACAAAGTAACCGAATCTTCGGATTTGTTTCTTGAGGAGAAAATATTAGATCTTCAACAAATGAAGACGTTTATCCCTGTATTTTACGATTTTTTTTCTAAATTAAAAAAAGACAGTACAATAAAAAGCAAAAAAGTCAAATTTATAGACAAATACTGTCTGATTCTTGACCTGTTTCCTCCTTACGTTCCATCCAGAAGAGCAATAAATTTCAGTCGTAAATATACATAATTTAATTAATATCCTAATAAAATCACTTCTCGCTAGCCTTATATTATATTTAATCCCGAATTGATGTCATTTGACCTTCTTAAAGATATAAGCGAAGCGAAAATTGAGACGGTTAGCAAAAACATTGTAGTAAAAAATTCCACTCACTCTGACTTTAAAAATACCATACATAGGTTAAGGGGATAAATATAATCTAATTTTTAAATAATCTAATCTTTTAATCTAATTTTTATTGACGATCTATCAAGAAGTATCTGACCAAGCAACAAACAATTTGGAAAGAATCGTTTTTGCAGGTTTTTTGATCATTGTTTACAATCTCGATTCAAAACAGATTTTTCTTATAAACCAAATTGTCTAGTTTCTTAGTTTGTTAAAATATTAATCCCGTTTGTAAAAATCATATATCGAATAGTCAAAAACATAAGTTATGTTGTCCACGCAAGATTTTGCCTCGTTTTACTGGCTCAATTATATTTTCTAAGTGTGTTCAAACAATTCCAACAAATTTAAATCTCGTCAATTTAAGTTAAACAAAAATGCAACAGGAAACTTGGAAAATTTTTATTCTACAAATTGAAAAGCTCCATTAATAACAATAAGTGCAAATAGATTAGTTTTAAATGTCAAAGTTTGTTATGATTTTTGTGTAGAGTATTAATTAACATTTAATTAATTGCAATTATTATTAATTAATTTTAATAGTATTAATAATTAATATTAATTAACACAGCTGCAGTCTCAATGGGGATCTGAAGGATAAAAATACAAGGCAGTACCTTTATTTCCATATAATTGGCAAGCTAACAGAAATTGAGGCAGGTTGAGCTAAAAATATACAAAAAGACATTAATAATGTTGCTTAAAAAGGATTATAATTCTTGCATTGGTTCTCTGGTTAGCATAATTTGTATGTATATATTTTGACAACAATTGTATAACCGCGTTATCTTCGACAACCCCATGGCAGAAAATACGTTTTTCTCATTTGCGTTGTACGGTAAGAGGTTCGCTTACCGATCCCTGGAAATCCAGCTAATCCAGAGATGCGCCAATAAATTTCGCCTTCGGTTGAACCAGTTCCGTTAGTTTCATTTACACTGGGATCACGGCAATTTTACGGTTCAAATTGCTCAAAAGATGATAGATAATTAGCCATATTCGTGACCAGACATAAACAAGATATCAGTGTCGTCCGGTTCCTTTGAAATCAACGAGGTGAAACTAACGTGAATCTTCCAAATTGCCCCCAACACACTTTGTAGGCAATCAACTCTACTTGAAATGAAGCAATTCTTTCTTTTATGAGGGTCAAAAGGCATTCAGAAACATTCCATTTGATATAATGAAATATTTCTTCAAAAATGACTGACACTAATTAATGATTATATATGGTTTTATTTCTACATAATTTGTTTACTTGATTCTAAATATTTAAGTGGCCTCTTCTTTCATGAACCACATTGTAAAGCCCCTCACAATGATCTGTTTTTAAGAACACCACATTTCAGTTAAATAAATGTAAATGAGGGATAGTGTGTGAAGTAAAAAAAAAAAAACATCTCCAATATTAAGAAACCTAGATTTACTTACTAGATCTTACTTGGCACAGTCGTCGAAAAAGGATAGAATTGAACAGGCGATACAAACTATTTAAAAGACAACATGACAGCAGATCGATTTCTTTTAGCCTGTGTCCTCCAGGTAAAGTGCTGGCCACAGTGTCAGTATTGTGATCGGAAGAAATAAGCATATATTAGCACATCGTAATAATAAGAAGTGATATTGACATATGACAATTTGCCAAGTCAATAAACAACTCGAAACTCTCACTACAAAAAACCGTCTCAAGTACACAATACTACTTCAACCTATCTAAACATATCGTTCGAATATGCTCCCTACTTCGCATTCAACCTTACTAAGCAAACGGACCTTTAAATCCTCGAAACCGCAAGAAGTCGGTACAGACCTCCACGATCCTGTCCACTCACCCACCACCTACTCAAAAACCTTCTATCCAATCCCGATGATCCGCATAGACGCCTGAAGAACCAATGGCCACACGATGCCATCCCTAGTGAGAAAAGTGATTAGGGTTGTTGTGGGTACCTAATGTGTTACTCCTCCTCTCTTGCATAATAAAATGTATTCATAAAATTAAAAATATAGCTGCTTGGAAGAACCGCAGTGACCGAATGGATCCGTACGACTCTCACATTTGCCACACTAGCGGTCTCGGGTTTAAATTCCGGCATAGTTTTTGAAATTTTTAGACCTGTACAATAGAGCTTTGAGATCTAAGGGAGGAGAGGAAACCGCAACTCAAGGCAAGGAAAAAATAGCTCAAACACAACAGACGAAAGTTTTAGTGCATTACATGTTGCCCTACGATTCCTCATTGTCATTTAACATGGTCATTTACCATCGACATTGTTGAGTCTTGTAGGAAAGTAAGAAACCAAAACGTGTCTCATAGACCAAAATAGCAAGGATATATAGGCCCAAATATATAACTGTATGATAGTCAAACGACAAGTACATCATCGCCTAGACCCTAAGAAAATGTAGCATTTATAATCTCTGTGTGCAGACTAAGAAATATCAAGTGTCTTATGAATTTTTACTTATATTGGTTATATAGTTTGTTTATAGATCATAGACGACAGTTTACCTCGCCCGATGTTGACCTTGGCTCCTTGTAGAAAGCAAGCAGGATGGCAACATACATGAAAACCGAATTCTTAATAGACTGTTCTAGTTTTGATTTGATCCATTGACATTTCATCATGAAAGTATGGATTGAACGTACCGAAAACGTTTTACAAGTAGACTTGAGAACCGTGCTTGAGAATAATTTTCTAGTTTTGAAAGTATAAATTGAGTTGTCCGTCAACGTAATATTAAGTATCCCCCATCAATCCTTTACTTATATTGGTTGTATAGTTTGGTTATGGGATGGTGATGGCATATCAAATACTCATATGTTCAAAGATATATAACTATGTGTGGTGATTAGTGACCGTTAATCGATATTTATTTAGAAATCGTGAGATGCGGTCTGGTGTGATGTAGGTTTCAGAAAAACATTTTCTTTTTCGTGCCGACGTTTCGATTTTTATTGAGATCATCTTCAGTGCTCAAAGTGTTTGTCTTCTGTGTAATTGTGCCATTCTTGCGTGTCGTGTCACTCTCGACGGAGTACATCTTTACTTAGATATGTCATATAATTTGTTCATAGGATGAGGAGTGTTCAAAGAATAACTGTCTACGAATGAAAGGAAATAAAGGTTAAATGTTTCAGCCTGTTTACTCGCCTTAGGGAAACGTTGCTCAATAGAACCCAACCGGGTTTGGCTCCTTATAGAGAGCGAGTAGGAACGCCATCAACTATGATAAGGTACTGTAAGGAGATTTTTCAAGTTATGATATGATCTTCCATTGATTTTTTCAAAATTTTTACTTAAATTACTTTTATCACTATGAAAGCATTGCGTGAGTGCCAACAGCTGGACTTTGATTAGTTCAATATCTTATGATGGGTCATTCATTGATATCTTGTGCTCCATCATCCTAGATTGTGAATATTATGTTTTAAAACTTCAATGCGTTTGGAGACTTAAATGACCTAGGTGTATAGAGTACTCAGATGATAAGGACAGATAAGACCTACGTTTAACCCTAGAGTGCCATCAACTCCAGATGATGTGATTCTGGGTAATTGTAAAAACGCTAGAAAACCTTTTTCAATAAAAAAAACTTAAGATCGCTTACCGATGCATAAGGCAATCCACAGACGTTCATGCAGAGGTACATGCAGGTCGTCACCCCTTTTAGTTTCACTTGGCCAACGTTTACCGAAGATCTCAGTAGAACTGCTAAAAAAAAGAAAGAATAGAAAAGTAAGCAAGCAAATAAACAAGTGAATTATTACTAACAGTAAATAAATTCAAGTAGAGGATATTTCATTAATAGAAGTAAAAAGGTTAAAACAGTAATGGAATCGCATAAAAGAAAGTTATTGACTGTGGTTTATTGATTAATTTTTGGGCAGATCTTGATATATTACGATGTAAAGATAAAATAACAAAGCGAAAGTTCTTTGTATCGCTAGTTTTACATGTACCTTGTTTACGTTCGTAAATAACTTGAATAAAAAGGATAGTTTTACAATTAATGACGTCCTATGCTACCGCTGACGCCCTGGTGTCCGAAAAGCTATCAAAACGTTCTTGTAGCCGATGAATGCCAATGAGGCGGTAAATGGCGTTGAAGAAAAGTTCAATTCATTCAAATAGACGATTCCATTTTGACAGCTTGTTCTTATTATGCAAATCGTCTCAAATTTAGATTATACGGAAAAATGAGGTATTGGTTATAATACTCTTATGACATTATCAAGGTCGTACACAGTTACCTTCACTTGAGGTATTTTCGAGTAGCCCTTCATAATACTCTCTCCTCCCCTTTTGCCATCAAAGCAGGTGTGCCTCAGGGTTCAATTCTGGGACCTACACTTTTTTGCATCTTTTTAAATGCTTTGCCTACGCTCAAATCCTGCCAGCTGTTTTTGTACTCCGACGACATCGCGCTTTACAGTTCATCCTGGAGGATTAGTGCGAACGTAAAAAACATTAATAAGGAGCTGGAAAGAGTAAGACGGTTCTGCACTAGATGGAAGCTAAAAATTAACTCTTCCAAAAACAGTTGTGTGCTATTCAATTCAATAAGCCCCTGCTTTCCCACAATATATTACCCGAAGGAAGACGTTTGAGTGGTTAAAAACCGTGAGGTATCTAGGGATCACTCTTGATACCAAATTGAATTTTGGTGCTCACACAAGAAATCTTCTTGGCAACGGGAAAGCGGCTATACTAACATTTTTTCCATTGCTCAGAAAGGTGTCTGGCATGAGCCAACACAATAAACTACTAATTTATAAAGTATTTATTAAACCAATGTTGCTATATGCATGCCTAGCATGGGATTTTACCTGTAAAACAAATCTCAATAAATTACAGGTAATTCAAAATAAATTTCTGCGGCTAGCCACTGCCTCTCCCAGATATTATCGATTGAGAGACCTACACGAACGAACTAACATGAAATGGGCAGAGGAGGAAATTTACGATGCGGTCTGCAAATTCTTTAGGCGTATGAGAGTCTCCTCAAATCCCATTTGCAGATCCATAGGTGCATATCCAACAAATGCAAATTGGAAACAAAACACATTGTACCTGGCTTATAAACTTGTCACAGTTATCAAATTCATAGTAATAAGAATATTTATATACCTATTTATGTATTTGATTATTTATTTAATTAATTTATTTATTCACATCTCATCTACACTTTTTATATGCATTTATTTAATTTATATATAGATTTCATCCCTCTGCTTGTGGTTTTTTGTTAACATAAATTTTTTCCCACAAACTGTTATGGAATTTCTCTTACCGATTTGTATAAAAAAATGATTAGTGTAAATAGTAGGAAGCCATAATGAAATGTCAAAATTATTGTATACATTGTTGTGCACATGTACAAATAAAAATTTATTCTGTTCTATTCTACTCTTGGAACTGTTTAAATCGCAATTGGATTACAGAAGAAAAACAAGTCTTCATCGCACACAAATCTTATCGTATTTTCTCCAACCTATGATCAGTTATGAAATAGATTATATTAGAAGAGAAGACTTTTTGTTTTAATTTGAAGCCGCGGCCACGATGCTATGATTGATTGCCAGGCGGAATTCGATACATTTTTAGAGAGAGGAACGTTGAACTGATATATTTAGCCGGAGGGTTATTCGAAAAATTTTCCGCTCGAGACGTTATGCGAGAAGATGCACCTGCCCATCAAAACAACAAATCTTTCCGAAGGATGTCAAAAAGTGACGGGAAATTTACTCAAATAGACGAAGAATATGGCACGTCCTGCGCCCAATATCTTCCGGGACGAAAACAAAAACAAACGACCATAAAATACTACATCAGGATGTATGATGAGTAGGATCCAATAGGATTTTGGCAAACGACTTTGTGAAAACACGCTACATTCATAAAATATTGAAAGAGTTAAAGAATTGATACATTGTTCAGTAAACGTGTAATTGTGAGTAATTTAGATCAACTTGTAGACTATTTTACTATATAGACTTAGACTTATACCATGTGCTTAAACTATTCTAAGACAATGAACAAAATAGCAGACAAAAATATTTCTGCAAAACAGATAAAATAGAGCAAACAAAATCAATCGTCCTCTTGCCATGATGTTAACTTTATTTAACTTAAGGTTAAGTTGAATAATCAAAATGTACTATTCTTATTATTCTTCTTAGGCTAAACCGAGTAGGTTAAGTTGAATAATCAAAATGAATTGTATGTAAGGTTAAGGATTGCAGGAGTCTCTTTATGACAAAATTGGTCTATGGTGCAATCTCAAACTTGAGGTCTTGAGGTCTGGAAATCCATCGTCCTCTTGCCATGATGTTAACTTTGCCATGACCTGACAAAATTGGCCTATGGTGCCATCTCAAACTTGAGGTCTTGAGGTCTTAAGGTCTGGAAATCAATTGTCCTCTTGCCATGATGTTAACTTTGCCATGACCTATGACAAAATTGGTCTATGTTGCAATCTTAAACTTGAGGTCTTGAGGTCTTAAGGTCTGGAAATCAATCGTCCTCTTGCCATGATGTTAAGTTTATTTAACTTAAGGTTTTATCGCATAAAATTGGATCTTGTCGAGTAGGTTAAGTTGAATAATCAAAATGTATTGTATGTAAGGTTAAGGATAGCAGGAGTCTCTTTATGACAAGATTGGTCTATGGTGCAATCTCCATTTTTGTATAGAGCTCTTCGTTATGATTGAGACGTTTTATCATATCTCAAAGCTTTGTTGTATCTTTGTGTCTATTTCTGTGTATCTTTTAGTCGTTGGCTTATCCTCTCCCAAAAGTAGGAATCTGGCCTTCGCACCAACAGAGTGTTCCGCTGTTTCTTCTACTTCCTGATATTAACGCAGGCTTCTTTCTGCCGTTCCGAGTCTGCAGCGTCTAGTCAGCAGTTCATTCTAGTCCTACAATGCCCTAGGTTTTGTAGTTCTGCTGTCAATTTGCACGATGGGCTTTTACTTGTAGCCCGCCCCTGTTCCGGGATACGATCATATTGTTTGATCTACGCTTTTGACAATTCCGTTTTAGGCAAAAGGGTTCAGATAGGTGTCCTCATTGAACTTTCCTTTCCAATATGTATGACACAGACCATTTGCTGTGTATCGTCGTTTGTTTTTTTCGAAATAGTTTAAAGAATGGTGGAATCTATCAATGGACGTGCATAAAGTGTTCGTAAAGGTTGTTTTCGTTTAAAAAATTGTGTTACTTATTTATGTAGTTCTTAATCAAACCAAACCATATTTGTAATTTATTGTAACTTTATTTGAAAATATCTGGCAGAGTAAGGCGTATAAATTTATTTTGTATTACTTAAATTTTATTTATTTTACAGGCGCATACGACAACATAGGTTTGACTATCACCTCATAAATAACAGGTTTGTTGCGTGTTCATACCAGATTCCCTAATGGACAATAAAAATTTGCAGCTTTAACTCGATCTACATTTTGATGTTGTTATTTAACTTTAATTTGTATTTCAGTCTTTGACCGATGAAAAATTGTTCCATCAACTGATAATTCATGGAAAAATAATGAAACATTAGATTTTTCTGTTAATAATGTGACAACACTTGACGACAATACATATGCCATAAGGTGCCAATGCGGAGACTATACAGACAAGTCCTTGTATATAAGTCAATGGCACGAGCGGGATTCGAACCCACGATCTTCGGCTTGATAAGCCGCTGCTCTACCACTTGAGGTCACGATAGCTCAAGTGGTAGAGCAGCGGCTTATCAAGCCGAAGATCGTGGGTTCGGATCCCGCTCGTGCCATTGACTTTTTTATCTCAACTAAAAACCTTAATTAATTGTAATATCAATATTGGTCAAGCGGACCTCGAACTTAGTGAATCCTTTGGTAAGAGTTCAAATTCAAATTCAACGCTGCGAGAAGATGTTTAAAAAATCGTTAAATTAATTTGATTAGAATTTAATCAGCGTACATGTTGTTTGACTCACATATCATAATTTTCAAAATTTGTAAGAAAGAAATGATAAAAATTTATGTAGTTATTCGTTGATAAAATCGTTATTTATGGTAGCATTAAAGTAAGATTATCCTATAAGCAAATTTTTGTATTTTCAGTAAATTAACAATTGTCCGACTGATTGCTGACCTATATACAAAACGAAAAGGTTCGGAGATAAATTTTCTGACCACTCCGACTAGAAAATGATATCAAAAAAGTCGTAAAAATTAGTTGAAAACTGGAAATAAAAGGATTTAAGTGGGTGCCTAATTGAGCCGTCGGATACAAGTTTATGGTTTTTGCCTGTGACTAAAAGCATTGTCTTGTATCGTTTTGAGAGGCTACCTCAGTACCGGGCCCGTTGAGGTTTTTGTCGTCCGGAGAACGGGTAATTTACAGGTCGGCCGTTTCTCCGCGAGGGTCCATCCACGCGCGCTTTATCGCTAGAAGATGCGGACGCAGCGGGACCCGGCGGACCCCCAGAGATCCGCCGGGAGGCCGTCCCTCAAAGGCCGTCGACACTCATTGGATCATCCGCGACATCGGAATTTTTCGGCCACTCCTTGAAATTATTAAGCCACCTGTTAATTACGAGGCGAGGCGTTGGGCTTTAATTGGCGTACATTCCCGGTCGATTTTATTTCCGCGGAAAGTCATTAAAATGGGCAATTTCCGGGTTCGAATGATTGTCTGTCCAGACGAATTTAATAGGCAAGCTACCT